TCCGTACCGGCAGTGCTCACGGGGCTGGTTCAGACGGCGCTGCGGACAAAGCCGAAGCCTGCACGAGCCATAGAGCGCACGTGAATGTGAGCAGAGGAAGGGAATAAGCCACAATAACAAAATGCCTGCTTTCCAAACCAGGAGGAAATATTTGAGGCTGTGAGCTGCAGCCTTCCTTTATACTCAGCAGAGGCAAAAGCATCCAGCCAGAGCTGCGTACATGAAATTTGCGAGAAGCAGGAAGTGTGATAAACTCATACATAACTCAAACAGATCCTGCCTGAACACGCAGCCAAAGCCTCATGGAGGTCCCTGCCACTGCTCTGTGTTTCAGGAGGCTGTCCTTTTCATAACTTTTTTTTTTTCTCCTTTTAATAGCTAGAGATGTAAGGATCTTAACTTTTAAAGCATGCTCCAAGCCTAAAATATTCTTTCTTTTACTCTGAAGGACCACAGGGGATCTGGGGTAATACTTGCAGGAAAATGAGACCTATCTGCCATTCAATAAATCTTTCATTGTAAATCACAAAATCAAAGTTTAAAAAAACTGATCGTACTCTGGGTGCTTCAGTTGTCTATAAGAGATCAGTAAACCTTCCTACCCACAACGCTAAAACATATCCAAGTAGACTATGTACCAATAGACTATTCCTTTTTATGAGCAGATTATGCTGTTAGCCTGCAACCCCTTAAATCTACTGTGCACTACAGTGAGGAGTTCCCTGTTCTTAGAAACTGCTTCTCTACAAGCAGAAGCAAATCCAGCAAAGACAGAAATGTTACTATTGATCCTCCAAAAAAATCTAAAGAGCCTAACAAACTTTCAGTCATGCCGGTCCCAAAACCTTCCTTTATAACCATGCAAGTAGCAAAGCTCCAACAGACAATGCAAAGATCTCACGTCAGCAGCATGATTTAGAATTAAATTAGACTACAAGCTCCTACCCTCATGCAGGACATGAGGGGTTCTGTACGCCATATTCACTTATTTAACACTATAATCTTAGTGACTGACACTAAGTCACATTAAAAATAGCATGTGAAAAGTGGGAACTATATACCCTTCGTAACCACTAAAGCACAAACACTCTCCAACTTAAAAGGCATCACAGTCGAGCTCTCAGTAGGCTCAGGAATGAAAGAGTGACAGCCTAAGGTGTTCCACCTACTCTAATCAAAAGATTACAGTACTTCTGTGTAACAAAACCTTACACGCATCTGAATAAGTCAGATCACCACGTAGTTATAAGTTTTGTAATGAAATCTAGGAACTTGAGAAAGCTGTGGAGAGTATTCTTTTATGAAACCATCATTCCTATCAGGACTGATGATCTAAAGATAAACAGTCCAAAGATAGTTACATATTTGAAACATGATCAAACTACATAAAGTGCATGACCAACTACCGTAGTGCAATTCCAAAAGGGCCAGAACAGAATTAAGACAGAGAAAAATAATCTCTTTCAAGTCAGTGGCAGACAAAACCATAAGAAATTTATCTATTGATGAACTTGTTCAGAAATAATTTTTAAAGTAAAATTTTAACAGATTTCAATTACTCCTTTTCATTATGATGTAGTCTCTGCTATAGCTTTAAACACCACAGCAGAAGTTTTCTGCAATTCATATAGCAAATAAATACTCCTTACTACCTAAAATAAGTTAGGAAGCTAGCAATCTGAAGGAGAAATGTTCACTCTTAGCACATTAGTGGTATCGCAGAAGATGGAAATAATTAGTGTTAGATGGACAGAAGTTTACATTAAAACCGTCCAATCTCTCTCTGCAGGTAACATCAGGTTTTACGAAAGCAAAGGAGGATGCAGTAGACTATCCCTTGTTCCACAGATATTTTCCTTATTCCAATCGCCGGAAGAAATCAAAGATATCTGTGAGAATAATTAGTACATAAGACAGCTTGTTTCAACACCTCGTGTGCCAAAAGGCAAGATTTCTGTGGATACAAACAGTTTTGCCAGGCTGCGCCTGCCAGGTTGTTTTTTTTTTTTCCTAAGGGTACAAATAACTAGAAGTAGGACATGATTATTACTGTATAATACATAATGCAAAGAAGGAAAATTGCTGTGATTACAGCTTGGGCTTGCTTCATACATCAGGTCCCTAAAACATGAACAAAACCTGCTGCATTTCAGAACTTACAGTGAAATCATAACAAGGAGTCAGCTTGCTCTGGTAACTATCGGTAAGCGATATTAAAACAATACTAAAATTATGACTCCAAAGGCCCACTGATGTAATGTTGAGAAATGAGCAGTTCGCATGACAGCTGAGATGAAATGACTAAGTGCTTGACAAACAAACAGAGCAGAACTCAGCATCCATCCAAAGTAGGTACTAGTTCCACTTGTAGGAACAAACTAACAAAAAAACCGAGGCAAAGAGATTACTTTCAAGGCTGATCAGCGGGGACAGAGCCTCTTGTATCCCTCTCCTCTAGCTATCAAGACAGCAGTAACATAACATATTGACTGAAATGCATAGAGATGGAGATTAGTAACTTCCTCTCCAGAAAACTAAACACATGAGGATAGTTAACAACAGAAAATACTGTTTTCCCTAGACCATCAAAATGTGTTCCACAAGCAGTGCTTTCCTTTCAGTTCAGGAAAGCTAAATATTTAGAGATATTTCTCAAATACTCTGGGCAGAACAAAAAGAAGAACACTGGGCAGAACAAAAAGACGACAAAAAAGTCCTTGCTTCCATTAAGTTTATGTTCTGTTTATATAATATTACTCCTAAATTATATCTAAAAGGGTACCGCTACATAGTGTGTTACGTCAACTGTTTAAGAGAAAAAGTTAACAAGCGCATAAGGTTGCCTTGTTCTCAAAAAACCCACTCTTTACTGTCTCAAATAACTGCTGTTAATCCTTAGTTCTTAGCAATCATAAGGCATACTTTATATTTAATACTAGCTAGTCAGCTCAGCGAAATCGTTTGTGAACACAAAAGGAAAGCAGCTTGGCTTTGACATCCTACAGTGAATCTCCTGGACAAGAAGTTATAAAAAGCATCTTTATTTGGAAGCTGAGCAGATCAGATCTGGAAGACACACACATATGCAGGACTTCACACTGCCCTTTTCAAAGTGCAGCCTCAATGCAGACTAAAAGTTTAATAAGGGGGATGAGTAATACCACTGGAAGTGGAGAAGACAATGAACAAATGCCTTGCAACCCAGGGACAGCATAAATGACAAGTGAAAAAAAATAAACGTGAATTTTAAGTTTAAACGCATTCCATCCCATCCAGTCTGTCAGATAAGTTTATACTTTCCAAAACAGCTGTTTTGGTGCTCATATTTAGAAATACATATCTACTGGTGTAGGAGTTATGTACTCAGTCCGAATAGAAGTAAGATTTCATGAATGATTTCACTTATCTACATTCATAAGAAACGGTGTGAGCAGCAACACACAGGAAGTTAGTGTTTTAAGTGCTCACGGCTTGCCTGCACAGGGAAATTGGTGCACAATAAGCAGCTACAGGAATTTACAGCCCAACAGCCACATCACACCCACACATCGTGCAGAAACTCTCAACAAACAATAGAGTGAAGTGGCTTAATTCACTTTCAGAGCAGAGGAAAGCTATGTTGCGTAAAGGCACTCTTAGTGTATGTTAGCCATCTACCCGGAGAATTAGAGTAGCTAGAATTCTGTTAGGGCACATCCTGGTCTACTATATGTTCATTTCTGCATTAGAAACCTCCCAACTGTACAATCACAATGACCACCTGATCTAAGCTCTGAGGAACACGGCTTCCTACATCTGAGGAATAGCATATAGGTTTTAAACTATACGTTAAGATTTCTAAAACACTCAAGGTTTAAATCTGATTGCTTATCATAGCTACATGGAACAAAATTCTTGGTCTGGCAGGCCATCCTACGAAATGCTTCCCTTCACTCTTCTGAGGGCTTATAAACAACCCATTGCTCAACTGCAGAACTGCAACAAGGACAAACCGACCCATTCTCCTCTTCAGTGAGCAAACAAGCCACCTAAAGGGAGGAGAGGTGCCCATCTGAAACTAGTAACATACAAATAAAGCAGCTTTGCTGAAGACAGGGCCATCTGCACCCCATTAATCTAGGCTGAACTTGGTTCACAGATGAGATTAACTTGCTGGTCCTTATGTGCTTCATGCAAGTCTTCTACAGACATTAGGTATCAAATAGTCTGGATATTTAACTGGCAGAGGAGAAAATAATGTTTTTATTGAAGTAATTGTACTCATATAGCACAAGTCCTCAGAGACAGACCAGAGTCAAAAGTCCAATTATCAAAAGGTATTGCAAGGAAAGGGAGCCTGATCTGTCAGTTAAGTCAGCCAACAAGGATTTGCTGAAACACGATCAATGAGTGTTCAGTACGCGAGAAAAGAAAAAAGGGAAACATGCCAGGAGTGCTAGGAAAGAACTTAACTGCTCAGCAGTTTTGGTCTAGATATATCTCTATCCCCATTTTGAACCGTTACACACTATTTCTTTCTCTCAAGTACTTCCTTTGGTAACAAATGACAACAATGTACGTCTCAGAACTTATGTTTAGGACAAAAGTGCAGCAGGTAATATCCTTAAAAGACTAAAAACTGACATAAAGACTTTCATAAAAAGGATTTTCATAAAAAATAAAATAAAGATTTTCATAAAAATGCTACAAAGTTAGTTTGTAAGGGGATAAGGTATCCCTTTAGACAGGCTGACCTCTAACATTGGCCTACTCTTGCCTTATTTTGCGCGGAAAATTTGTTCTGATAAACTGAACCCCAGGTGTCCCTGCAAACTGATGTCCCTATAAATGCAGTAACAGCATGTTTAACTCATCTATACCAATTTCAAAACAGAGTTTGCCACACTGACACACAACTGTAATAGTGGTCATCAAATCCCCTCCCCCCCCCCTTTTTTTTTTTAAAAACAACATTTTTTTCCTCAATATATTTCAATTTCAAAACTGCAGACCCCCAATCAGTATTAGTTTGCAGAGAACTTCCTGCTCATTGTTAATAATTGGGAAATAGGGCTCAATATTAGGTAAGTAATGTATTTTTACTTTCTTATGATAGTAACTGCCTTAGGATTGTTACTTGACTAAAAAAAAAAAAAAAAGAACAAGGTAAAACTTGAATGACAGGAGAACATCTGCAATGATTACTCTATTCTGATGAGCCTCATGCTCTGAAACAATTTTACCTAATTAGCCTAGAACTAGGATGGGAAAAGCAATTCCCTGGAATGACATTGGAATAGGTAACTAGATAGAAAAAAAACCCACAAGCATGAACAAGTAAAAACAAACAAGGAAACAAATTGCCATCACTACCCCAAAAATCTCACTTTTGCTGTTAGCTGGTATGTCAGTGTAGAAAATAGAATTTTCAGAGACGATAGTATTCCTTTGTCCACACACACCTCCAGTGGTATCCTGAAGTACTCTTCAGGAAATGCTATTGTCATACTACACCGAGGATACAATTGCTATCTATAAATAGACTTCAGAAGATGGGGCAAAGATATCAGAGAGGAAAGATATTTAAGTCTCTGCTGAGACAAAAAGAAATGAGAAAGTACTTGTAAATAAAATTAAGTCAGAAATTAAAATCTGCTAAAATCATCTGAATGGCAGGGCCAAGAATCAAGAATCTAGCTGATTTTAACTACAGCTTGAAATCTAACAAAGATTATGTAAGATTGTGCCTATAATAGCAGGACAGGTGGTACAATGACTATGAACAACTCTTCTCATGCTAGATTCTCTTTAAGAATGATTTCATCCTTTGGACGCATACAGGAAACGCTCCAGTCCATTTGCTACAAGAGTTTGCAGTGTCTATCCTGTATCCATTGTGATAGAGCTGTAAGTACTTAGCTGCTTTTCATAAACACATCTGTATTTAACCTTCAGATAAACATACGTAAAGATGCGACCTTTTCAATCTTGATAGTTCACAAGGCAGCTAAATTAAATCCCTATGACTGACTCGTACCTAACAAGGTAGCAGGTACGCAAACAGGAGTCTGAACTTATCCATGTGATTAAGGAGTTACGAAGCAGCTGATACCTTGCATCCATTTTTGTAAATTGAAGATTAAAACAAAAAACAAACATTTCAGAAAGAAAGAAACAAACAAACAAACCAACCAACCCACCCCACTTTTCAGGCACCATCATACCCTACTGAATTCCCTGGAGATATAAAGACCATCCAAAGGAAGCGCTTGTCAAGAACACATTCATTGAACTCAGCAGCAATAGTAGTCACACTTTTCTCATGTCTTCTATCAAATAATTGCCAAAGCTATTTATTATGCCTCACAACACCCCTGTGAGGTAGGTAAGTACAACATTCTGAGGTAGAAAGCAAGCAATTTGCTCAAAGTTGCATAGCAAACCAGAGGCAAAAAATCAGGAATAGAACCCAAAAGACCCAGCTGCTAGGTATCATGTTCCATCACCAGACCATTCTGTTTTCTTTCTGGGATCCTAAGTTACATTTTTCTAAGAAAAAAAATTGATGTAGTGAAATCAGGAGAGGATAAGAGAGGCAGTCACACAAAGCTCATATCAAACTTACCTTACCAATGCATCTGGTTTGCTTAGCTGGTTATTAGGAATACAATTTTCCATTAAGTCCTTATGTGTGCTTGGGCTCTTGCTAGCGCATTTCTGTTTTTTCTCATTTTTAGTAGATGAGGAAGGGATGCTCCCATTAGTTGCACTGTGACTGCGAGGTGAGGAGTTCACAACTCCACTGACATTTTTGTAATTTTTGGATGAGGCAGTGCATGAGTCCTCTTTTAAGAGGTTTTCTGTACTTCCTACAAGATCATTATTTAATCTTTTACTATTGATATGGTTTTCCATATATTCAATTTCTTGTATTTTAGAGTCTACAGGTTGCAAAATATTGTTATTTATTCCAAGGTTGTGTTTCTTCGCATCCTTGTCCTTTTCTTTCCCTTTTTCTCTATATTCTAGCTCTGGCAACGTTGCAGATGATAATTTTTTATTGGCTGGAATGCCTCCATTGTGCTGCAGAAGTATTGAGGGATCCATATCAGATAATCCTTTGGCTGCTGCAATACCAAAAATAAAAAATATTTGGTTTATTAAATCAATCAATACTGTGTGACACACACAGAAGAATACTTAGGTACACATTAATCATTTCTGCAGAAAACAACAATTATTAGAGTCTATCTTAATTTAGGGGGAAAAAAAAACAGAAGTCACATGGTATTTTAAGACTCGTTTTCTCATTATAGGCAGGACACAGTAACCAAGGGATTTAGTAATAAATACGTCTTCATAGAGCACTAATAGACTAGATTAACGCAGCTGCTAATGAGGAAACTAAACAGTAGAAATGAATTGCCTTCTCTGTCATATTAACCATGGCCAAAACAAAATTATTTTCAGCTCCTCTGTTTCTAAGCTCACAATACCCTTAGCCAAAACAACACAGACTAGTAAAGCTCTTCCTTAGTAGCCATTTTATTTCTTTTAATTGTAGATGACAGCAAACACATTAAGTAATAAGGATAACTTGCCTTCCTCTGCCTCCCTCTCTTGCCTTTGTAGCATCTGTTGTTCTGGGGGTAGAGCTTGCTGGAGAAGCTGCATGTAGAATTCATTCTCTTTCTGCACTTCTTTTTGTTTTCTTAAACGCATTTTGTAGCTGACGTAACTTTTAAAGCCAAAGCCCAAAGTCACAACAGGGTAGCCAATACTAGGAAAACAAAAACCAAAATGTTATTAACTAGACTGTAACCACGTTAGAAAACTAATAAAAATGTGTAACTGTAAATGCATCTGGCTTACAAGTTTTTACAAAAAAGTGATACATAAAATGCTTTTTGCTGAATTACAATAGTTCTACAGTTTGAAAACGTAGAGATTTCTTTGTCATGATAAAATTACAGCTACAATTCACTACAGAGAGCAATTAACTGTATCATAAGTTAGAGGAATATGACACTGCAATTGCACCATGCATAGCAAAGGCAGCTTTCAGACAAGCACCAGACTAGGAAGTATGCATTTTTTAAAGAGATAACAGCCAACTACAACAGAGGTTTCCAAGCTTTTTCCTAGAGGGCCATTTAAATTCGTGACATTAAGCTGGGAGATGAGTAACAAAATCCATCTGGAACAGTGAAAGGAGAAACAGATCCTTAGTCTCCTCTCTTCACACCCCTCAGAACTGATGAGCACATCTCCTTTCTACCACTCTTTAAAGCACAGAAAAAACAATGGTTCTGCAAAATACTGCCTCTGCAACAGGCCCTGCAACACCTTCTCAGTGCAGCGTAGCCTAAAAAACGAGAGTTGGAGAAACAGCTGAAACACACAGCTGCGGGGCTGCTGCATTTCTGGTGGGGACCAAAGCTGTCAGCCAGAGCGCGCTGCCATCACCCAGACCCAGCAGGGCTGGAAGTGACCCTGGAGTTCCTGCCTCAATAACCAGTTGCCTCTGTTGAAGATGGCTGCAATTAAGCCATCTTTTGTGGGCGACAAATGGCCTTTGTAAACTCCTGCTTTACAGGACTGACCTTGAAGATGTAAGTGAACAACTTCTAATCTCTAAACTTAGTTCTACCACTTATCTTACTGACAGATAGGATATGCAGAATTTTGCTTCCAACCAGACTCAGCTGTTCCATCTGGTGACAGGGATGACAGAAGTATAACAGAACTTTTGAATTAGTTTTCTCATATAGCAGCTTCACTGCACAGAATTTAAGTATTCTTATTAACTTGTGACAACTGCAGCAATACAGGATGCTAGTAAATCATGCTAGTATTTTTATTAACAAGGATACTCAATCAATGGGCAAACGTTCCTGTATAAAAATAAAAGCATCTCTGGCAAATATTTTAACAAAGCACAGTGAACTTACATTTTAAAGACTAAAGGTGCCCTAGATCAGGGAAAAACTCAGATGCAATCTATATTAACCATTAAAGTCTTCTCATTCTTTGCTTAGCAATAGCACTGTGCAAACTGGGGCTCTAAATATGCTACCAGAATGCAAGAATCATTTGCATATGCATCTGACATTATCTCTGCCAGTGCTTCTTTTGTAATACTGCATAAAGCCAGCTGAGGCTACAATTCTAAAACTCTGATGACAAGCTTAAATGTTTGCATCCAATTCAGCAGCAGAAAGACCTTTCTCCAGAGCTCCTAAAGTGCTTTTGTAATCTATTATAGAACTTAATTAGTGTTTAAGGGATTTATTGTACAATGTAGACACTATAAATTAAAGTGACAGATGTCTAATTTATTCAAGGCTGTATCATAGGGAACTGGACCAAATGACTCCATGAAAAGCAGGACCCATTTTAAACCTAGCCTGATCAGTGCATACTACACTAAAAACTTGCTGAGTAGAAGTTTATTTCTTCCAGATACAGACACTTCACAGTTAAGTCTTTTGCCTGAACTCACTGTCATCACCTCGAAAGAAGGAGTGTTATAACATCTTTTATTTTCTATCATGGTTTTCAACCTGAAGCTTTTCACATCCTGTAGTGAATTATGAAATCAGACAGTCAGG